ATCGCCCTGATGATGGAGGCAGTATGACCTCTGAAACGTTGGTTAACATCGACCAGACTACACAGCGCAATAACCCAGAAGACGGATATCTTCAATAATTAGAATTGTTTAAGTAATTTCGAAGACGACCACGTGGGTCAGACAAGAACTTGCCAATTTGCGTTCAATTGATGCGAATTGTGTAACTGATTAAATGTTAGTAGATAAACATAGTATTCTTTCTTTCGTGTATGTTCCTGATTCTTTAGTTCCAGGTAAAAATAAGGTCGAGGGGAATAATAGCATTTACTGGGATCTGCCAGGAATGTAAATAAATGGTTGCTTACATTCTGAATATCTTCTTGATTTTAGGAATATTTCAGTTCTCTTGAGTCTTGAATAGAAGTTATTGCTAAACGTGAAACGATACGGAGTAAAACACGTACAAGAGAAACCTTAAACGTACTGTGTTATCAGACTAGGATTAGACGTTATTCAAACCAGCAGCGACCATTTTTAAACCCCAGCCGTTCCCCTCTGATCTATCACGAATGCTAACAAAAGGACCTTATATACTAGAAATCAACAATAGCCCTGGGTTAATGACTCTCTTTTGTAATCATGAGCCCGTGGATTGTGAGAGTGTGGTGTGGGGAGAGGGGGTGGAATGCACGTCCGTCTGTCCGTCTCTCAGTCTTTTTGTCGGTTGCTGTGATAATGAGTAGACTAGGCTGTATAAAAGTACTGGAGCTATGGGCTATGGAGGCTTATCTCATGTGTTTCAAAAATCTAGACCAACTTTTGTGAAGTGGAGAGAACGAGGGCTCAAATGAGAAAATTCCTGAAATTAAATTACAGGTCAGGTCAATACGTAATGCGGATAGAAGTGATCTAAGTCCACGCGGGGGTGAAATTTCAGTTCTGAAAATTGAGATCAGAAAGAAGCAAGTGTATTGTAAATTTTGTGACATTGTATCGACTCTTTGAAGATTACAAACATTGAGGCGGGCCAAGATGTTTAGCGTAACTGTGTACATAAATGCATACATTAATTTTGTTGGATACCCTGAAGGCAAGAAGTCATTCACAAGATCTTAGACATAGATGAGCGAACATTATGAAACGGATCTTAAGGATATAAGGGCTGGGGGTGTGGATTTGATTATCAAGCGCACAATGGGGACTTTTGTAAACTCGGTAATGAACTTTCGGATTTCATATAAATCGGGGAATTTCTTAAACTTAATAAAATCGCATAAGTATAAGACCGTTTGTCTCTGGCCATTTTTCGGTGTTTCATTTTCAGAGCTACGTAATTGTATTTAAAATTCGTGTTGCGATTCTTGATACGTGAGACTTAGGTTTGTAACAAGTTTCTCACGCACTTGGTTTTAAACACGTGTTGCCGAGACAGAGCACAGTTTCCGACTACTTCAGGTCTGTTTTGTCTGCATTTTAAATGCCTGGAATGTTAATTACGAATCTGATTTAAGAACGTGTTATCTGTTTGAGCCACAAAATTAGATCCGAAATCATTTTAAAACGTCTTTTTAAACTCAGATTCACCTTCAAAAGCAAAGTACGTTTATCTTAATTCAATTTCCCTTTTTAAGATGTGGGCTAGGCCAGCAATAGTGTACTGTAAATAAATTTTTCTTTCTTTAAGCTAACATAGGTGGACAGATATAAGTTTTTTAAAACATACTATTCACTGCTTTGCATACGTCGTTGAGTAGCCTGTTAATCAACCATGATACGAAGCAGGTTATTTCGAATACAAATGCAATATATTTGCATCAGTCTCGTTAGACCTCCTCAGGAAGGGACTTTGTATAAACATGCCCCTATGATAAAATAAACAGAGACAGTCTTGTATATTCCTTAGTAAGTTTGAGATGTTTCGGGTTTCTCCTGAAAAACTTGTATAAAGTGAAATTCTTCGCATTCGTTTCTCGAAATGGCCCAGTTAATCCATCAGTCTCTGTGCTACAAGGATGCCTTTACGTGAGGCAGGGATCCTGATATAAGGCCCAACATATAAATCAATTTTCTGTTTTGATCAATAATTCAACAAGTCATATTCTATATCGCAATTGCTTTGCGTTTGTAGAAATTTGAATAGACAACTGTTGAATACCAACAGGCCCAGACCTTGTCAGAATTGAAATGAGTGATTCAAAATAATCCAGATTCTTGTACTGAATTCTATTTTATAAGCAGTGGTTTGAATATCATTTGTGCCTTTGTGGTCTTCCTTAGCTGAATGAAAAGTTTCCTAGTCGAGATTTTTAACCGTTACTGCAAAAGCCCTATATTTGTCCCTTCAGTCAATTCACGTAATTCTTTAATTTCTATTTTTAAATAAACTTTCCTGATCTTATCACCAGTTGAAGATTACGCATTGCGAAGTTTGTAATTTTATGAATTCGCTTGTTCTGCGTCCTATCTCATTCTGCAACAATAGGAAGAAAGGAAAATGTAGTTATGACCTTGTTTGTTTCAGAATCTCCGTCATTTGACCTCTCAGTTTCAAGTATTACCAGTCCTCGTTCAGAGCGACCAGTGTTGACCGTGCTTACACACGTGTGTTTTTTGTTTTTCCAGAACGGGACGTATGCGTGCTCTTCGCTGTGTCCCCAGGAATACATCTCACCCCAGGGATCCTGCAGACACCCGCGGCTGGTCGAACTTCCGGGGCAATGCTGCAGAGAGTGGATGTGTGACAGCGTAGCAGGTCAGTCAGTGCTTTCTTAAAATTGACCCGGGATCGTGTCCAGTCAAGGAATTTAGCGTCTATTAGCTACCTTCCGACTTTATAACTAACATCAGGAATTTTATCCTGTATGCTTAAAATTGTAAATTTTGAAGTCTTCTCTTGTATTGTCTGTAAACGCGTAAAAAGTTTCTGTAAGCCTGTTCCATTTCTCGGATATAAATTTATTTTGTTTTAGGTTTATAATTTTACATGTTTTGTATATGATTTGGATTTTCATGAAATATAATTCCCGTTCCTTGACGTCTAACAAAACATCGAAAACGGATATTTTGAATATGAAGACGACGTGTTGTTGTGTTTAAAACCTAACGGCCGGCTTATTTTGATGTTGTGTGTGTGTTGTGACGTGAAAGAGGTCAGGTTTAGAGGTACATTCATATAAACTGAGTAAAAAAGTTTTGTTTGTGTATCAGTTACAACCATTTTTGGAAATGGTTTGTTTGTTTCTGATATTTTGCGATTAAACTTTATAGAAGATTACTTTCTGTGCCTCGGAAAGTGACGCTCATGTTTACCTTTCTCATTACAAGTCCATTTAAAGAGGGAATTATAAACAAGGATCTCTGAGGTATCTGACAAGTACAGCAATTCTCTTTCTCACGTTTTGTTACTGTTGTCAGAAGTTTCCAGTGAATTTAATATCTTCGAAACTTTGCTACCATATTTCACATTTTGAGTTGAGGACTCCTGTACTCGTTAAAGACTTCTTGAAGAAAGTTGGTACCACTGGAGTAAATACCCGACGTGGCTCGCGTTTATTATGTTCATTGTCCTGTAAAAGTCACAGAAGTTACAAGAAGAGTGGACTGACGATGTGTGGCGTACTCTATCTTGTGTTACATATATATTCAATATGCACTAATTTTCTCTGCGATGTTTCATACGTAATTTGCCTTGATGTTCACAAAATGAGACATAAACCCATAACTGTGCGGCAGATTGATTTGTAGATTAGTGCCAAAGACATTTGGAAATTATTTGAAGGCAAAGCTCGTCTACATAATATTTAAAAATTCAGTAAACACAACACGTTTACGTTAAAATCAATGGATTAATATTTTTCTGGAAATAATCGCTCTTAAATAATTATAAAAAGTACAGTTTCACTGTATAGGCAAAATGTAGAAGTAATCATTATTAAATCAGGTGGTACGTGTAGATATTGCTGAAGTTTAAAGGGTTAAATATTGAATATATTCATGTGTGTTATAATGGATTTTTTAGCCTTGTTTAATATAAGAAAAGAATACTGTTTATGATTACATGTTTGTTTTAGGCTACATAAATTTCTGACTCTTGCCATGCTAACGCTGTCATGTGACATTCGGGATAATGGTTTGCATGACTGACCGTGAAACAGTGTTCTTTTTCGTCTGAATAACAACTTAAATTTCTCGCAGTTTTTGAACTTTTTTGCGATATAGCGTTATTCTTTCAGTGCATGAAGTCCTTGATCGTTATTGTTTTTACACATGAAAGGTCATTTGTTCTTTAAAGCTAAAACCGTAAACCTGACAATATTCGACCGGTTCTAAGTTCATTGTATTTTTTTTAATGAAAAAGCTTTTCCCTGTGGGTCTCGAAATTTTCCTTAAATTTTCATCACATCTGAAAATGATTTCAATTTAATTTTCGAGAATTGCATTATGTTCATGTTTCACACCATGCGGGCTGTAAGATTTATAATTCCATTTATGAAATGGCATAAATTGAAGTTGGGCTTCGTGTAAAGAAGGGGTTGCATTGGTTATAAAACAAAAGTAAATTCTTTCGATACGCTTTAGAGCAGAGCCGCATATCAAAGTTCATGGTAAAATGTTTTGGTAGTTTTATTATATATTTTGTGGAGGAAATGAATAAAATGTTGGTTATGTAGGTTTACCAGTAAACAATTTTAGCAGCAGTTTGCAAGAATGTGTGCTAGTCTTTTTTTTTCGTGGTTGTGTGCACATAACCCTTCATCATAATCTGCGTTAAAGGTTATCCTATTCGACTGTTCTCAAGTTTAGATACACTTTAGAATTAGCCCTTCCATCGTTTTTTGACAGTTACTGAATTTCAATTTTAAAAAATGCATTGTGATTGAAACCAACATTTAAATGACATCGTTTTATATTGGGTATATATTTCCCTTATATAAATTATGCATATTGCATTCTGTTAACGAGTCATATACAGAATTCTGAAATAACTCGGATGCCTAAAATTGTAGCAAATAGACAATTATGTAATTCTGAAAACGAGATTCCGTTTACGTCAGTCTTTCTGCAATGTTTTCTGTTGTCTAGCCACGTACAAATTCCCCTACTTCAAAGCAGCGAATTCTATTCACGAGATGAGAATTCATTTTGACTAATAACCGTCTATTGTTCCTAGAATTGTCCATTGGTTCCGGAGACGAGGCAGGAAAATTCAAGTACTCAGCTGTTCTTTTCAAAGTTCCGTGTTTTCTTCTCTCTCTCCGTGCTCCATGATTGTTCTGAATGAAAATGTCAAGACACGAAATAACTTTCTACAGAAAATAACATTTCTCTAGCCTGACTTCCTACCATTTTGAAGATGTCAACCCAGAAGACAGCCATCTTTGTATTTCCCGCCGTGAAAACCTCAAATCTTACAGATAGTTAAGTTTCACACATTTTTAAATGACGCTTCTTTGTCTATGTAACTTGTGTCGAGTCTTAAGGCAGGATAATTTCAGTGATGAAATGGAAAATATAACTAAATATATGTATATACATATATGGATGGAATTGCGGTTTTTTTAAAGAAATAAATTATTCGTTTAGGTCGCTAGGAAATGAGCCATGTGCTGTCTTGACCGAGATTCGAAACCGCGGCCTCCAAAATTCGTAGCAGAATTGCCAAACGCTCAATGACGACTGATCATGTCGCGAAAGTAGTACCAAATCAGGAATCACCGAGTCATTCCGACGTCCTTAGCATTTATTTTTCATATTTTCATGTTGAAACAACCGAGAAGACCTCAAATCATACATTGAAACGAATTCTTTAAGTAATTAAAGAACCTTTCTCTTAATTATGCTGTCTTCTGTGTAATTTTAAAATTTACTATATGGAAACGTCTTCCTTTCCTCACTGTATTACATCATCCTGTTTGGCAGAGGGTCTGTATTAAGTTCATGTTAAATGAACCCAATAAATTTACTCTGTGATGGAAATATCGAATTATTGACCGTTGGGGGTAAGTAGTTTACGTAAGAGCCAAGATCTTTATACGAATTTACTTGGGGATTTTGGAGCCTTCTCCTTGGACGTACTGAATCCGCCCCCCATCCATAAGATAATTTATACAACTAAAATATCTCATAAGTATGAATTAAATTAAAAATTGTCTCTTTTGTGTCCCAAATGTTAATGCGGCGGAGGAACGGAATTAGCAGTTTTATTCATTAGACAGACACTAACATCAGCGCTTGGTACTGATCCTGTTTTTAAACATATTACAAGTCGAAGGTTATACATAGCTGAAAGGAGTAGTCAAATTTAATTCATTTCAAGTTACGAAACATATTTAATAAAGATCTGTTTTATATTAATCATCTTGTTCCTTGTCCTCAATGTAGTCGACTTGCAATGTAAAATGTGAGTTACTTCCCTTCTCGAGCTACATTCCCAGCCCAGCGTGACCCCCTCCCCCCTTCATTTGAGTAACAGCGATGAGTATGAAGATTTCTGTCCTCTGGGTTGTACAAGCCGTGACGGGCTTCATTAAAACACTTGAGAAGAAGAAATTAAAACAGTTTCGGAGACTTGGCAGGCAACCGATTAATGTTTTCATCCGCTAAAGCCAGTTGTTTTCAATTTGACTTAAGTTTATCGTAAATTTTCTATGGCTGTGTCGAGTAGACCAATCAGGTTTCGAGGAAAAGGTTAACATGTAAGACTTGAGGTTCTCACAGCGGTGAGTATGAAGATTTCCGTCTTCTGGGTTGTTGCGCTGTGTAGTCTGGTCGATGTTAACCAACGTTTCAGAGGTCATACTGCCTCCGTCATCAGGGCGATGAGTATGAAGATTTCTGGCTTCTGGGTTGTTGCGCTGTGTAGTCTGGTCGATGTTAACCAACGTTTCAGAGGTCATACTGCCTCCGTCATCAGGGAATGACCTCTGAAACGTTGGTTAGCATCGACCAGACTACACAGCGCAATAACCCAGAAGACGGATATCTTCAAAAGGTTAATACTCGTTCGAAATACCAGTAAACAACTATGACAGTGTATAACTTTTATTTTGGGCGATAAACCGGTTCGATTAAGCTTTTCTGACGTCTCAAATAGCATAGTTACAGGTTACATTAAACTCTAGCCGCGAGAACGTAAGGTTAAACCTATCTTCAGCTGATAAAAGTCTGTAGTTGGCCTCCCAGGCACATCATTATCGGGGCTGGATCTCTTCCAGCAAGGTGACTTTTTTTTATGTCTTGAGATTTCCAACTTCTGGAAAAAGAAAACTCTATCGTCTGGAAATAAAGTCGGCGAACTACACAATTCTCTTTTTCTTTGCGTTGAACAGGGTGAGAAATTGTTAGGTACAATTGAATTTTATAGGGATACATGCGGCAAAGGAATTTTATCATTTTTATTAGTAGTTTGTTTTAATCCCATAATATTCACCCTATTAACTTCTCACTGATGTGACTAGGTATCTGACTGATATAATAGTTGGGCAAGGCCGTGGTCTAGGCAACACGGAGTTTTCCTCCGTGGCATCCCAACAATTACTCCATTCACACACAGAAGAAGGCAATGGCAAACCACTTCCGGATCATCTGCCAAGAACGTATATGAACAGGTCCCAGTCCGAGAAAAAGGATGGAAGGATCCTGTTCAGATGGACCTGTCGTCAGACAGAACACTAAAAATAAAAATAAAAAAATTTCAGGACACTTGCTGTTGTAAAAATACCACACCAAGTTTTACCATCGACACAAGTATAC